ATAAACAAATCCCGTTTCGATTGTCCTTTAATTGGAAAAAACTCCCTACGCCCCCCGCGGGGGAGGAAAAAGGAGGTGTGACATGTAGTACCACATATTCATCAACATCCATATGATGAATATCTCTTTTAAAGAGAAAGTTATACCATTATGGTAATTGTCAAAATTATATGCAAGATTTGTTTCTTGCATCATTGTTGTCCTTTAATAATCACATTGCATAATATTTTGGCGTACAACAAGTACGTGGTCAGTGATATTCATGCCATATAATGATATTATTTTCTTATTTCATCACAAACCTCCCTCTAGAGATGAGTGTGGTATATTCACTACCACTAGCATGTTCATATTCTTCCAAGAATGAATATGTATTCATAAATCAGATGTTGTCACATTCACATCATGAATGGACCATAATCATATATATGTGCTTTATAAAATCTCATGTCAAATCGATGACAAATATTACTTTCACAGAGTGAAGAATTATTTTGAGAATCCCTATTATTTTCATTACCACAATGAGACGATTATAATTTCGTCTATTGTCACGTCTACATCCATTGATATATTTATAGTAATAATTTTATCTTCTTTCAAACGTATCATATATTGCTATCACATTCTCTTAAGGGAATGAGAATGAAGCAAATTCAATGGGACGGGTTTTCACTTCTTTGCCCACAATCATACATGAATTTGATCATGGCAAGATAGAGAAATTTTACCACTTCGAGTGGTTATAATTTCTTACAAACTCTATTCGAGTTATAATCAAAGTTTATTGTCTTTTCTTGTATTTAAAATCAAATTATAGAATTCAAGAATTTAAAAAAAAAAGAAATAAGGTAAAATACTTACCTTAAATCCAGAATTTAATCATGAAGGAAGTTCATGGATCAATTGACAATCATTATGCTCCATCCCAAAGCTTCTACTCAATAGGTTAGAGTCTCATGTTGATAACGTGTTATGAAACAATAAAAGAAGAAAAGAGTATTACAGAGAAAAGTAGAGAGAGATAATTCTTATTGATTTGGGATAATTTACAATGGAATAGAACTCTCTATTTATAGGGAGAGGGTGACTTAGCCACCAAGTAATAAACCCTAGAATTTCTCTAAATATAGACATTCACCATAAATAAAATTCTATTTATAACATATGTGTGTGTGTGTGTGTGAAGAAGACGAAGAATTTGTGCATGATGTGTTGGTTTTTTTAAGGTAAAGTGTGAAAAAAAATGGAGGAAAAAAATATATTTGAAATGATTCATTTTTGCAACCGAACTTTGTCCTTCACTGGAAAGGAAGAGAAAGATAGGTGTTCCTCAAGCAAACTTATACCTACGTCATCATTGAGTCAATTCCCTGTTTTTCTCATTTAGCCTTTTCTTTCATAAACAATAATACTCCTAATAGTTTGATCGTACATATATTAAAGTTTTGAAAGTATCTTTTCATATTTTAAAAAAAATAATGTTAACCAGTAAGAAAGGAAATTCATCTTACGAATGTTAACTTGCATACGGATTACTTATTTATTTTAAATGATTATGTTTGGACAATATTTGGTTGTAGTTTGAAAAATAAGTATTTTGCGTTTGAAGTTGGAATTATTTGACATGAATTTCACTTAGAGAAGAAGTTAGAACTTTTGTGAGGTAAATATTACATCCTTTTAGATACTCAAAGGAAACTTTTAGGTTCACATTTTTTTATTTAAAAGTAAAATTAAAAATTAGATAAAATTATAAATTAAATATTTAATTGCAAATAATGTGTGTCCAAATGCCTTTATAACTAAAGAAATTTTTAAAGCATGCATATGATAAAAGTTCAGTATATTGCAATACAAACTTTATAATAATGATATAAGATAAAGGTGCAACGCACGTTCAGAAAGACTAGTTAATTAAAAAAAAATGCAATCCTATTTGGCGCCATTTCTCCATANCCCCCCAATATTTGTTCTTTCTTACACAAAAGTGGATCTGGAATACCAGGCAGAAAACATAGATATGTTTTATGTTTCAAATAGACTAGTGATAATGTAAATGCCCAGATAGTAGTGTCCAAATAGCTCTTTTACACAAGAACGGAAAAGGGACAAGTATATCCTTCTACTATCCAAAATAGTTTAAATATATCCTCTATTTCACTATTAGTGTATTTGTACCCCTACCGTTATATTTTTGATCGAAATTACCCTTAATTCTAACGGAGGGATACATGGCAGCTCAGGAACAAAAGGACCAATTTACACCTGGATCCAATTAAAATCCACCCTAATTTTGTACCCATACCCGACTCAATTTTCCACTTAAATCAACAAAAACCTCAAGAACATCTGATGCCAAAATTCTACAATCTTCCGGCGTCGATGCTGCTTCTGATACATCCGATGCCGAGTTCGGTTTGTTAGAAAGATTTTATTCTCCCAATTGACCCACTCTATCACAAACACAATCACAAATCACAAATTTATTTAAGTGTTGACCAACGAAGCAACATGTAAAAGGGTTTTGATTAATCGGAAAATAAAACTGTTTCCTAGTTCGATGAGGAATTTGTGATTGTGCTTTGTTAGGGGAGACCTGAGGCACAAATTTGATATAAGCAAAAGAAACTTTGGTGATAAAATAAATAAATTGAAACCCATCCTAAAGAACAAGCTTTGGATGTGGGTATGAAAATTAACTTTTGTGATTTCGAAGACAGTGATAGTTGGGTCTCAAAATTGAAGATAGGTGCCACAAGATGAGCAGTCGCACAAAAAGAAAAGGGGTCATCTTCTTCCACCGAAAGCAGCGGCAACTAAAACACTCACGAACTCCTTTTCATTTTACTCTCATTGTAACAGTTTTCTTTTTAATTCCATTAAAAAGTTTTAACTCCATTAAAGACCTCACATCATCCTAAAATACCGTGACCAAAGCTCACTCACACGCAGCGGCTCCGCCGAACCACCCCCATTTCGTCGCCGTGAAATCGATACACCACCATTGCAGCTCTTTTGGGTCTTGAATTTCCGAAATCTGAAATCGTTAATTTGTTGGAATTTTGAAAGTTGTTTGAGTTGTGAAGCTACACATTATTAAAAATCTGATTTCAATCCATTGTTGCTGTCTGAAATTAACTTAGAAACCAAAATGTTAAGAGTTTAATTTGGAGATATTCTTTTGATTTTTGTTTTTTGTCAAAACTCATAGTAATAGTAGGGAATTGAGTCGGGTTTGGGTACAAAATTCGGGTGGATTTTAATTGGATCCAGGTGTAGAAACGCGGGGTGGGTCCTTTGTTCCTAAGCTGCCACGTGTCCCTCCGCTAAAATTAAGGGTAATTTTGACCCAAAGTATAACGGTAGGGGTTCAAACATCCTGATAGTAAAACGGAGGGTAAATTTAAACAATTTTCGATAGTAGAAGAATATATCTGACCTTTTTCCGTATTAAGAACTTCCTCCACCTCAAAACTGTCCCAACATATTAACTTGCAAAAGAAGTTGCAAAGTCACGCCAAGATCGAGCTGAAACAATGTATATACTTTGAGGGAGCTTTAAACATCCATAAACTTCATCAGCAAACAACAATCTCACCCTGTAACATAATTCAACAACTGCTCGCGCAAAATCTGCACTAAAACAACTAAAGGCATTATGATCGTTCTGATTTCACAGGAAAATACACAAGAAGAGAGACAACTACCTATAATTATTTTCCCTACATTGACCTCTTCAGACATATTTCTACTGAGAACTCAAACAGACGAGAGAATCAATTCAAAATTTATTTGACTAAAGCTTATAAGTAAATTTTGTAATCAGCCTTCCATGCGATTAACTGCTGATCAAAGTGTGGTAATTGGAAAGATATTTAAGTTATAGCAACAATGAGACAACACTCACCTATGCTGCATATGTAACTTTAAGGCGCTCTTCCAAGTAGTCTCCGGCCCGAATTGGAGGGTATCTATTGAAAAATCAACAGGAAAGAACTGATATGAGACAATAAGAGATCATAATTGTCACATGCAGAAGCATCCATATGGCTTATTTATCCTGATTAGTTTCTTTACCACAAAATTCAAGTGGCCAATTTCTCAACCACAAGGAAAGAATAACGCAATCCATCTGTGAGTTCGTGCCCTGAGAATTTTTTTCTTTATTTTATCTTTTTCAGAATATAAAGTCCACATCCCCACCATTTTCCCTCTTAGTTTGGATTCTCCTTTTTTTTTTTGGGTTTCCTTTTTGGGGTTTTCCCAAATGCTAAACTACAAAGGAGTCTAGCATAATGAAATGGAATCGTATTCTGGCACCTGACAATGGTATTCGTTGCAATGAATGCCGGAAAGCAACCAAAATACTTTAATCTAAGTTTAGTATGCCAATTTAACGAGTTACCAATGAAAAGATAACAGTGTCAGTGAATAAAATGTGGAACACCATATATGAGATGGCTGGCGGTGAGGAGGGAATAGGTGTTGGCGAAACCTGAGGGCAGAGGGGCAAGGATGAAGGCCGGGGGAAAAGACGGGAATTAATTGTCTTGACCTAGGGGAAAGTAGGGGGTAGGCTAGCTTAGGAGGGGCAAAGGGCAGTACTCGAGATTGAGGAAGGAGGAAGGGGACTGCCATACACATACTCAAGAAGCGGGAGTAAGGGGAAGGCGAGAGAGAAGAAGGCTCGTGAAAAAGTTGAGGGTAGAATAGCATTTTATAGACCATTCCTTAATTGCACCCTTTAATGGAATGGAAACTCCACTGAAGGCATGAACGGTGTCAACTACTGAATCAAAATTATGAAGGAGTCAAGAATACCAAACATGAGAATAGAACGAAACATCAGAATTACCTTTCTGTTCTGGGAGAGTGGGATAATCAATTTGCATCAAGTAGGCTTAAGGGGCAGCCAGAAAACCAACTTTGGAAAGAAAAAGTTTTGGGAAAGACCAGGAATAGGAATTATGACGGAATCAAGATTACCAAATATGGGAATAGAATGACCACCAGAATCGTATTGCATTTTGTGATCATCCTACCGTATCGAACAGATCATATGAGAAAGCCTGCAGCTGCCTCTGAAGGAAAAACTTTATGACAAGAGCATAAAGGCACATCGTCAGATCTCCCAATCAAAGAAGATTATGATTCATATAAGAAATTAATTAAGTTTGCAGAATTTCACGATAGAATTTTCTTTTTACGACTTCAACATCCATGAACAATAAGAGCAAAGTCTAGGAGATGTTAAAAGGACAGAATAAAGCTTTGACCAAAGTCATCAACATATTTTCAAAATAACAGCATCAGGCTCACCACTAGCACAAAAAACTTGCAAGTACCTGGGAGGAGATGAATCACTACAGCAACTCTTCAAGCACTCCACCACACAATCTGGATTTGGCTCTAAAAAGAAAGCCATCTACATGTTGCCACCAGTATTTGGTTAGCTTAAGTTGCATAATTCTAATGCCAGCAGAATGAAGAGTCAAGAGTATATTTAGAATGCTTTGAATTGTTCATACATTATCAGATTGCATATGGCAAGAAATGAGATATATTGCATAAGCCGCAACAGAAAAAGCCAGAGACATATATTCTTTTCACTAAAACACTTTACTTCATAGGAACTTCTTACAAAGTACTTTTTAGGATATCTCATGTAAGAATATGAAAAAGAAAGATTGCGAGAATGTGTCACTTAATGCGGAATTCCTTCATAGACATTCTGTATAATATATACAACATTCCACCGAGCAGTGGAGATATTTTCCAACATACAATAGCTACCATCTGCGCTAGATCAGCTCTCTTGGGAGTTCCCTTTAATTGAAAGTTCAGAGAATACGGCTATTATTTCTCTCTCCCCACCCCACTGCTAGTAATACTTGTATCCTCCTCTCTCCACTTTCAAAGATGATAGATCCAAAACATGTCAGAACAAGGATTCAACTAATCAAACCATAAATACCAATATTTCCCAGACATGCATTGATATGAAATAAGGGGTAAAACACAAAGAGTTTGACAAGAAAAAGGAGAGCAACACATGATGAAATCTTGATTACCGAAAAACGTTCTTGCCCTGTTGGCATAACTCTATGCAACGTAGACCTACAAATGTATAATTTATGTTACTGAGAATTTGGTAAAATGAACTTTCAGCACAGAAAAAAGCAATATGAAGAAATATAACATCTCTCGACACAGAATAGGTAAAGACCCTAGGGAAGGATTATGCTGTCTTTAGATATAAAAGAGAACAGAAGAGATTTGCACTACCGAAATAAGCAGTTTGTCCATCTCTCCATCATATCTCCAATATTAACTATGAAAGTCCTGCAGAACAACAATTGGAAAGAAAATTCAGCAGTTAAGTGATGATACCATGTATTATACTACATAACCAAGCCAAAGAGAAGATTAAATATTAAACAGAGTAGAAAGGGAATGTTGGCGATGACATAGGAAAATACTGGCCGAAACATTCATGGTATAATGCTTGGAAATAAATTAGCCCCTTAATGAAGCAATTCTCAAAAACTTTTCCAAAAAGGTAAACAAGAAGGTATTTAGACTCGTTCACGGAGAGAAAGACATACAAAACACACCTACTAATAAATCTCTGACTTTATAAAGCAGTTACTTTTGAATAACAATGCCGCGAGAAGTACCTTAGTTGAAGGGATCTTGGAAATTAACAAAGAAAGATGAGAGAAGTTTTGAGGCTTTTGCCTGCTATTCTGACAATCTTCCTTCGCAATTTAAGTGAAGAAAACTTGGTCAACTCGAACATATCTGGTTCTGGTATCTCATCTACAAGGGAACAATCTAAGACTAACTCATCCAGTTGAAACAAGGTTGAATTAAATCTAGTTAAAGCAAAGGATCCTAAATTTTTCATTTCCATTTTGGATCACTAATCAACAGCAATCTGTAACCTGTAATTGTGATAGACTCAAGACCGTAGGACTGTTTTTTAAGCCGAAGGGGAAGGGCTCTTTCTTCTTCTATTTTTTTTCTTTTTTGGGTGGAAGTGGGCATCTGGGAAGAGGTCTAGGACAACTTGGCAGCCATTAGAGAATATTAAGCATGATAAAGAGCTCGTTCAACTGGTTGAGAACATTCATGACGTCACTACAGGATGCAGATAGGAAGCCCCTATACGTAGAAAAAAAAAAGGAAAAAAGAAAGATAGAAGAGAACTTCTCACATATTAAGTAGTGGGAAGCTCTCTGAAGTAGTAGACGACACTCAGGATGTGCATAAGAATGCAGATATAGGAATGTCCCTTTATCTCAACAAATTTAAGAGATGAGCTTGAAATGGATCTAAAAGGATCATTTGCAATAGAACCCCAAATCATTAAATGTGGTGAGAATATCCCATTATAGCATCAAGAAAACAGAAGACCTTTCCACATCTGAATAGAGTTTTGCAGATTGTCATCCAGCATCAGCAGATTAATCGTAATGATTGACACCTCACATTGGTTGCAACCTTCTAGAGTGGTGCACATGGACAAAAGGGAAACAGTGGAATATTGCAAAACTAGATAAATATAACAATGCTCATCATTTTCACGTTGAAACTTTTCACTCATTAGGAGAGGCTCAAATTCAATCTTGATCAGGCTTGTCTCTGACTCCAGAATACATCAATCAAAAATATCTGTATTTGAATGACCATCGAACCTACCCACTGAGGTGATGCACATCTTCCCATATCTGAGGTCGCTTAAATTTCTCCCGGCAAACCTGTTAGCTCTAGAACCAGTTAATATATGCATTCATGAGAACCAACATTTGGATAAAAGAAAAAACATTTCATATCAGACGTGCCTGAAGTCCACCAACACCATCAGTAGCTAGAAGAGTTAACATCCCATAGTCTGAATGAGCAGAAGCACCATACACCACTTGTTCAGATAATTGTAACTCACCTACAGAAAGTTTACATAAAGCATTTGATTTAATGATCAAAAGCCCCACTGTTCAATTTGCATGATTTAAATCATTTTGCCAAGCACATCGTTATCCTATAGTTTATAGGAAATTCAAGTATTGCATAAGATGCAGTTATCAAGCATGGAAACATTGACTGTGTAAAAAGGAGCAATAAGTAGTCACTTCTCCAGTTCAAGATGCGTCATTAAACAAATACGCATAATCAAAAGAAAGAACACTAACAGCACAGAAACTGCAGTCCACCCTGAAAAAACTTTTTTGCATATTCACAAGCAGCAATCAACAAAGATGTTTCCCCTTTTCACTCCCTCTTCATATCATCTTGAGGTGCAACAGCAAAACTAATATTTAGACAGGAAACAGGTACTGATCACCTATTAAAATACAGGAAGAAAAAAACTCAAAAAGATGGATGCCGTTTAAGGGACTAAACCTGGATAATGTAACAAACGAAGGAATGCATTAGGTGAGTCACATGCCCCTGCTTTGTGAAAGAAGTCCTCATCCAATTCCAATGCCAAAGCAATCAGTGAAATTAGTCTTATCCCGGCATCCCTGAGACAAGAAAGTCAAATCAACCACAAATCAAGTAACCTAGCCATCTATAAAACACTGAGCTTTTAGCAAGAAGATGAAGACCAATGATCAGAGGTGCAACTTAAACATTTAACTTTCAGTTACACAAAATTATAAGCACAGGGAACTGAGTGGTATGAAATATTTATAGGGGTTGGTGTTACAGTTGATTATATCAAGAGGAAGTTTAGGGAATAAGGAAATCTAAAATTGCTTTTAAAAAATATCAAAGTGATACTCACAAGACTCTTTTATAGTAATCCTCCATGATTGATCTCCAACATGGCAGAATTTCTGGACATTCCAAATGTAAGAAAACATCAAAGAGTCACCACATAAGTCTGGAGAAATCTGTGCTTCAAATATAAATCAGTCTCGAGGCACACGTGAATTGATGCACGAATAAACAAATCCGAGCATTTGATGGTAGTATCTTGTTACAACTTACAAGGATTATCCACCATAATAAAGACAAACAAACCCCAAGAGCCTAAGTATATTAAGGACAAGATCATGCTGTAACCTCAAATAAAGATGTAGAGAATACCTACTGCAGGCCACTGATTCAAGGTACCAACAGCCGTACTGTCTTCCAGAGGACCAATGTAGAAGCTTTCTTTTGAGTCGCCTGCACTCCAATGATGAGACAAAGATTTAAGCTACCTTCTGTCTTACCATCCCCAAATGCAGATCACAACTCGCAAATGTAACTAACAAAAGCCTACTGAAGAAAAGTGGCATAAGAGGAAAGTCTATACACGAAAAACATTTGTTAGGCAAAGAGATAGCCTTTAGGTAAACAAGACCTTGGATAGGACAAATGTAGCTTAATCTATGCTTATACCTAATGAAATTAACTGATTTACCACATGGTTGAGACCAACTCAACCAAATTGTTTTAATCATGTTGTAAATTCAGCAGCAAAATTAATTTTTGTACAGAATTTCAGCCGTCTGCTATGCAGCAGCTAACGTTCTGTGTCAATGCAAACAACAAAAACATCTCCATAGAATGTTCAGATCAGATCAATAGACATTCCTCTTTTAGATAAATTTTATCACCTTAATTAATATGCATTCTTACCTCAACCAGTGACTAGTGCTCTCATGTTAGTGCTAAATTAACTTGGTTTTGTGCAAACGCCGAGGGCATGAAAAAGCAAAACTACCTTGGGTACCAGAAGAGGGATCGAGATTCTCAGCATAAAGGGGAGTATAACCTCTGTTGTTCCTCCGTACCAGTTTCATCTTCTCTTCAACTGGCAGAGAGAAATACGTTTTGCTGTGTTCAAGCACTTTCTTAAACAGCTTTTCCTCTACCCCATGGTTTATAAGGTAAAAGAAACCAACTTCAACACATGCCTACACCAAAACAATTCACAATGGATTGAGTAACTGGCCTTATAATTCAAGATCAAAAATTTAGTAAAAGAGTCCAATTACGTTGGTTTTGAGATAATAAAGAAAAAGAGAGACCTGACGAATTGCACGAGCGGTGGAAACACGATCAGGGGAAATAAGGTCGATAATGGGTAGTTGAAGTGATTCTGCCATTATAACTACTCTTACAATGTTTTGTTGGTCCGTCCAAAAATTGAATGGCTTTTCTCCGGTAAAAATTACGACACTACAAGAAGCAGACCGTCAGTCCAAAAAATCAAAACCACCTCTAGTTTTTCAATTTGTGACCATTTCTGATGACTTCGTTTCGATTTGTGGGTCAACGTTTGTAAGAAAAGATTGTTTATGTTTTAAGTTGAAACAAAAGAAGTAAGTGTTTGGATAGTTGTAGTCTTTAGCAAACCACGAGAGGAAAATTTTTACTTTGGTATCTTTGCTCGCTTCCGTGCTACCTTCCGTGACTAGCATCAATATATTACACGCAGCAATCATATTTTGACATGTGTTTTTCTTATTTAACTGTTTATATTTTCTTTTTTTCACTATTTATTTTAAAATTATATTTTATTTTATTTTATTTTCCTTTTAAAAATAAGGTACTGGTAAAGTTATTGACATGTGACAAAGAGGTCACGGGTTCGAGCCGTGAAAACAACCTCTCGCAGAAAAGTAAAGTAAAGCGACCCTTATGGTCCGGTCCTTTTCGAACCCCGCACATAGCGGGAGTTTAATGCACCGGCCTGCCCTTTTTTTCTTTTCTTCTTCTCCGTTTCGATCTCTGAAACTCCATCAATGGCAGATGGATATTTATCAAGTTTCAGTCATTCAAATCAATATAACCTCAAATTTTAGCATCGAATATCAAATCCCACAAGGTTTGAATAGCCAATCATATTTAAATATGAGGATTCAAATCATCGGTAACGGACTTTCGAAGAACCCGCAATGAAGTTCAAAATTTGCGTTTAAATCCTAAAAATAAAATAAAAAATCCGTAAGCAACCCGAATTTGCACTCCAAATTTGATTTTTGGACTTTAAAAAGAGGTACCACAATTTCCTTCGATAATTTAAGTTCGATTCTTCAAAACCCATCATTTCGTTCGTCGGCTTCAGTCCTTTTCGTAATCAAGGATATTGAAATAGTTGTTGCGGAAGCCAAATGTATATGGTGTGAATGAGTCACAACTATTATACAAAAAATTATGACAGCAACCAAATAATAAATAAGACAATAAAGCAACAATAAAAGGAATACCAGAATTTATGAGGTTCGGCCAATTTTGCCTACTTCCTCGGACACAACCAATATTTTATTCCGCTCCAAAAATACAAGTGAAATAATACTAAAGAGAGAAGATACAAATGCCTTAAGAAGATAAGAAGGCAAATGAGAGGTGTGTTTAAATCCTAAACATTAGGCCTTCTTTTATAGGGAGAAATTCTTCCAAAATTAAGTCTCCCACCGATGTGGGAGTTTGCCATTTTCAACAAATCTCCACCTTGGCAAATTTTCACATCTTTAATTTTCTCTCGGTAACAATTTTTGGTTGTGTCTTCATTTTCAATCTTCAGTGTTCAACAATGTTGATCAAATCCAAACAATGTTGAAACTTGACCGCAGTCACCACTTTTGTCACCATATCAGCAGGATTCTCTGTAGTATGAATTTTCTTCACCGTGA